CCATCTGAAAAGAAACAGGTCAGAGTAGGAACTATCACACTATGTATACATTTAAGAAAGCATGTAAGACATATTGCACTGTTTTAAAACAGGATTTTCAAATGATTCTGTAGCTTTACTTTAAATTTGCCTGACATTGATAGCAACCTCTGAAACCAAATTCCAATGGAAATTCTGCCTACTTTAAAAGAGCCATCCTAAAGGGTATTGTAAAACTGAAGTTTACTACATGATGCTACAGGACTGCTTTTGAATTAGATGATCCTGACGCAAATAAATGGTATAAAAGCATCCTTGGTTTTGCACCTACGCTTTGAGAACTAAGACTACTAATAGCAAATCCTGGTAGGAGGTTTGTATTTTCTCTATTGCCTGTTATACAAAGAAATGAGTTTCAGAAATGTTCATGCATCAGGAGTCAAGACATTAGGTTTCTTGTGTTAAACGGGAGATATACCTGTAGTTATTTCCTTACTGATGTGAAAGTGTTGATGATCTGATTTTGTTGAACAAAGGCAACTCAAGAAGGTTTTTCAGCTCAGATATGCTGGTTTAGAACACCATACATTCTGTAGCAGAACTGATACCTACTGGACAACTGCATATACTAATGATTCCATGAATCTAGCCCAGAAGACAAATCAAAGATAAGGTCACAAAAGAATTCTTAAAACAGTTCAAGCATCTGAACATTTATATAACTTGTAGGATAACACAAGTGTTTCAATCTTGCACTAAATTCAAACCTTCACCATAAATGCCAAAAGATTACCCTGAAGTTTTCCTACCAAGTATCCTATTCAGATCTACTAAATCACTATTGAAAAAAAAAACACAGCCAACCCTAAACAGCTGCTTACACATACAGCCACTAAAGAAGCTAGCTGCAATGACTTCAGCATAGCTAATTCCATGCATGATATTAAGCAATGCTTGCTATTAAGCAAGAGCTAACAGTAGCATGGTATGAAAGAATTTTAAGGACTTCGCTCATCATATATTTTGGACAAAGAATATTTTGTCAACTCAAAACATAACTGCTTCAAGTTTTTCAGGATACTAATGCTTTAACGAAGTATTAGTACCACTCCTATGATTTAAAGAAAGCTCACAAGGACCAAAAGGGCCAAATTTCACATTCCTAAACACTTACAAGTCTGCTTCTTTCCAAAACGCACTTAGGAGACAATAACCCAACTCACTCAAACTTTCCAACTAAGGAAAAGCAAAGCCTGCTCAAATATTTCACCATTCACTTTTAAAGATCAACATACATGCAGGGGCAACATTAACTTCAGACACAGAATAAGCTACACGCCTGTTAAGTGTGCACTGAAGGCTTCTTGGAGGACTGTTAGAGGTGTTCTCTGCTTTTTCCCCTGTAAAAAAGAGATACTTCAAGGCAGAAGCAGGGTTTGTTGTCGTCTTGTGTGTTTGGCAATCTTTAGGGAGACCAGAAGCACAAAATCCTAGAGTTGTACTACGGATAATCCATCTCCATTAGTAAGCTGAGATCAAAACTGGAAAGTAAACGGCTGCCAACAATCAAGCTGATTCAATTCATCTGATGAACCTTAATCACATGATTATGTCTTGTCAGCAACATCTGTAAAACCATCTTCCCAGGGAAGTGATGGAATCACAATCCCTGGAAGTGTTCAAAACCATGCAGATGAGGCTCTTAGTGACATGGTTTAGTGGTGGACTTGGCGGTCCTGGGGTGAAGGCTGGACTTGTTGATTTTAAAGATTGGTTGATTCTATGATTCTAAAACCACTGTTACACTGGAAGAAGGTATACAAGTTGACAATGCTACTTCTTCCATTTATCTGCTAATCATTCAAATCAGACTAACTTAGCTATCAGCATAAATTGCTAAACACAGCAGAACAGCTGTTTAAGACATATGCATTGCTCAAGTTTAAGTTTAGAAGATCCAACCTAGCTCCTGGGGAGCATTCAAGTACAATACCCACGCAGTACACACATGCACATACACAATATGTTTGGCAATTCTTGGATGAAGATTAAGAACTGGAGCAAGACTGGTATTGTAGGAGGAATTTTAAACATCCAGCCTGTCTAGCAAAAGCTAGAACTGCAGACTACAGTTCTGCCTTTCTGGGTTTTGTTAAAGGCTAAAAATCAACCTGTTAGATTAAGATAGTCATCGCAGAGCTAATTTAAAACTATCCGAGCCCTTTAAATGCTGCAAAACCTAATTAGAACCCACAGTACACATCTAAACTCCAATAGTTAGAAACATACAGACTTGTGGCCTGCAGCAAAGTAGCTCTATTTTCCAACAGTGCAAAATCACTGAGAGAATGTTCCGGACTACCACATGCTGATGGAACAACAAAACATTAGTTTGGCAGAAAATTCTGTTTACGAGAACAACATTGCCAGAACCACCATCACCAGTGGGACTCAAAGAGACTAAGCTCTAGATTATTTGACCCAAATGTTCTGACACCAATTCACAGATTCCAAAAGCTTCAAATATATCTTAAGATATACTTAATATGCATATAAAGTAGTCTTCAATTCAAAGGCTCTTACCTGCAAAGACAGATGCTTTTTTCTTAACAAGTAGCAGAAGCCAAGCCAATCCTGTGGGCAACCAATTAAAACCAACTTTTAGACTGCAATAAAGAATAAATGGAGGCAAAAATCAATGCAGGCAACACAACAGCAGGAACAGTCCACAAAGAACTGTATATACAGAAAGTTCAAACCTGCGACCACCACAAGGCACTGACCATTGAGCAGCCACGAGACTGCATTTTCTAATGTTATCCCTGTGTGACTTGTTGGCAACTGTACTGCAGCTTTTGTATGGCTTCACAACATGAACGTGGCCTCCCACAAAGGATATACAAAGAACCAGAAAGCATTCAAAGAATCTTTCAAATATTCCCATCACCAAGAGTTGAACAAATCACTCTTTCAAAGGCAAAGAACAAGAATTCAATACTTGAAGCCCCTGAAGCTTAACAAACCCTTACTCCGTAATGACATTCCTTCTTCCACCTGTGTATCTTCTTACTTGAACAAAGCAACATAAAAGCCACCTCAGAAAACCTCCCTAGAGCTGCACACGAGAAATCCTTCAAGAGTCACAAACTGGTGAAACTAAATGACATTTCACAGCCACCTCTAGGCAGTCACCTCTAGAGAGCACACAGTACGAAATCCCCACAGAGGTACTGTAGTTCTGGTTGTAATCTATGATTTCATTACCCAAATGCTGATCAAATGCCCAATTTTTCCATCTCTGTAGAAAAATTGTCTTCTTGGGCTTACAACTCCACAGAAGAGCCAAGCATTTTAAGTGGCAGCAAATGTATCTTATATCTAAAGAAGGGATGGGAAACTCTTGCTCTTTCATTCCTTAGTAGGCCATTTCATACTAAAGCTGTGATTTCTTCAGAAAACTATCCAGAAATGAATCACACCAAGAACAGGTAACTGCCTCCTCCTCAAACAACCAAAAAAAAGTCTTTTTCAGTTATAAGCATCATTACCAAAGTGAGTTTAGAAGAAGTACTACCAAACCATCCACAAACTCCCTAACAGAGGGAATTAAAACAAACACAGATATACACAGATCTTCCAGGACACGAAGAGCAGACTTACAAGTGAGAAAGATACAACTACACTCTCCACTCATGTTACAAAGGCAAATGTATTTAGGAGAAGACGAGGGGTTTTATTATTATTAGACCTTTAGGAGAAACAAGTAATCCTGTATTATAAGGATTCACCTATATACTTGCACACCTAGCAGTGTCAAACAGTAGTTTACAAAGGAGAAAAGAATATAATCACCTGAAAACAGTTTAATACAAAACCACACCTGCTTCAAGATAAATCTTTCATGCACAAGGAGCTTTCCAGTTGGAACAAAACCCCAAATCATTTAGTGTTATTTCCAGTTACAGCAACCACAGCATTGCATACGTTCCTCTTCACAACACCGAGAACAAGCTGAAGATTCACAGTGGACTAAGACAACACGCTATAAAGTGAAACACAAACAAAAACCAAGCAGCGTTCTGCCGGAAAGGTGCAAACCTCCACTCTGCTGTGTTAATCTTTCCACCAAACACCACCTACTTTTGTTTGCAACTCCCAGTTCTCTCAACGTTAAAGAAAACCATCCACCACGCCTCAGATAAAGCCATCCTTTCAATCAAGCCGGTGCGCAAGAGCATATTAACTGAGAACATGGACTACAGCACAGGTGCTCCCACACATCGCTGACACCGCAGCTCTGAGGCTTCATGGGAGACTCTCCACAACACCCTACCAGCTATACCGAAAGCACCACCATCCCCTGGACACAAACAGTCCATGGAGCCACCTTAAGAGTCCACTAAGGAAAAACCTGCCGATTTTTCTACCTAGCCCCAGCGGATTGAGGTGGGCAAGAAAATCACTAAGAAGAATGGGTAAGTTTAAAACCAACTAAAACTAGAGACAAGAGTGTTTTGAAAGCAAGCTCACATAGACTCCTGGTGTACTTCTGGGACCCATTTCATCACTCGTCTGGTGAGGTTTTGGAGATCTGGCCTCTTACAGAGCTGACTTTTTTTAGTGAATAAGAGCATTACGTTACTACACGGCAACTCCGCTGATATTTACGGGGCAACCCCGACGAGCGGTGGCAACGCCGCAGGCACCAAGAACCTTATCCCCGCAAACTGCGGAGCGTTTACATCGCTTTGCCCCCCAGGGCTGGCCCAGGAGCAGCCACTGGCGCCCGGCCGAGCCCGCACGGGACAAGCCCCGCCGGGGCCGGCCCCAAGCCCAAGGGGCCAACAACGGGACCGCGCCGCTGGGCGCGCAACTCCCGCGGCCCCGCCGCTCACGGCCCCCGCGACCCCCTCACGGCCGCCGCCACAGCCCCCGCTCGGGCTCCGGCACCGCCGCAAGGTCACTTGACCGCCTCCGACGGCCGGGCCCTCGGCGCCTGCGCTCGGCCCGCACATACTCACCTGCCCGCGCAGCCCCGCGGGGCTCGGGGCGCGGCCGGAGGGAAGGAGGAAGGGAGGAAAGGAGCGGACCGGGGCCGGCCCGGACCCCTCGGCCTCAGCGCGCCGGGCAGCGGCGAGGCGGAAGCGGCCCCGCTCGGCGCCCCAGGCCCGCAGCGCGGGAGGCACCGCCCGGCCCGGCCCTTTGTGCGCGGGGACGCGTGCCAGCCGCGCCGCGCCCGGCCTCCCTCCCCTCGCCTCGCCGCCACGCCGCGGGCCCGCAGCGCTGGGCAGGGCAGGCGGCCCGGCCCGCCCGGGCGCCGCCGCGCTCTTACCGAGGGATCTGTACGGGAAAAAGGGTTAGAACGGAGCCGACCCGCCCCGGGCCCCGCTGCGCGCCGAGCCCAGCGCCACCGACCGCGCAGCGACACAAAATGGCCGCCCCGACGCGGCGCCGCCAGCGGAGGGGCGGGGCCGGCGCTAGGCGGGGCGGGCGGCGCAGGCGCGGCCGCGTCCCCTCCCCTGAGGGGCGGCGCGGGAAGAGGCCGGGGACGCTGTGGTGAAGCGGCCGCGGACACCGCAGCCAGGGGCTGGGGAGAGCAGAGCCGGGTCCATGGGTAGGGACCGTGAAGTCAGTGGTGGTAAAACTGAGGGGTGAGTGGTGAGGAGCAGCTGAGGGACAGACACCCCTGAGGAGATGCTGTCGCTGTGCTTCTTAGGACACGGGTTCTGCACCAGTGCCCATGTGCAAAGGAAGAAACTGCTGCACAATCTGCTGCAAGAAACACAATGATCATCCCCTCACACTACGAACACTTCATTTGGGAGTTCAGCAATTCAGTTTAGTTGTTATTCACCACTTAACAGAACCCTGTGATGAGAGTGCTGTCCTGAGGCAAGAAGATCAGGCCCGGGGTGCTCCACACCACAATAACCCCCACTCCACAACTTGTTTCCTTTTATATCTCCTGTTTCTACTCCCAAATTCTCCTCCTTTACCACTATCATCCCCTTCCAATAAACTCCCCACACTTGCTGATTTTCTCCCTTATCCAGCCACCCTGCAGCAGGGTAACATAAGGGCAGTGCTGGAGCATCCCAGGCCGCAAGAAACCTGAGGCTTTTCAGCTTTTGTGCAACGTGAACAATCACTTTTTGTTGCTGAAATGAGGTCTGGTGGAGACCTTATTGGGAGGGCCAGCCAAAAATATATACAACCCAACTATGTAATCTTCAGCAGTGCTCTAGACCATGCTTGATTCCATGAAGATGCACTGGAGAGCAAGTCCCGATGCCCTGCACAGCTGCTGCAGACCAGCTCATGTCCTCGCACCTCAAATGTTCGAGTCAGGAGCACAGCTGGAGCAAAGACTGGAACAGATGCCTGTGACACAGATTATCCCACAGGTCTCCAACTGTCTTCACAGCCATACTCGAGTTTTTATGAGGAGAAGATGGACAGAAGCAGATCCGTTGTAGAGTGGGTGAAAGGGGACAGAATCCTGGACTAGTAGTAAGAGCACGCTAAGTGACAAAGGGTACTGAAGAGGAGGTGGCAGCATGATGGACCCAGGTACCAGCAACAGGAGGAAAGTGGCTTCAAAAACACCGGCAGGCAGGAGGTGACAGGACAGGAATCATTGGTAACCGTATCCAATATGCTCCCCTATAATATGTATTTGGTGGAAGGTAGGCAGAAAAGGATAGTGTTAGAAAAGAATGGGATTTGCCTTTCTCAGGTGCTAGGAAACTACTGAGAGCAAGCTTGCTTATCCATCTCCTTCACCCAAAATAAAACTGAAGGGTGTCAGGGTACCCAACTACAGGAAAAAAAGTACAGAGAACAATGTAAAGTTTCACTTGTAAAGTTTCTGTCCATAAAGGGCCTCATCCACTCAGTCTTCCTGGCCTGTCGCAGACCCCCACTATAATGTCCCCTGTCCTGCCCTTTAATCCTGACCCATAAGCTCTGAGTTGGCTCCTCATCCATATCCAGGTGGAAGAGGGTGACAGCCCCTCCTCATCTCCCCAGCCTGTCCTTCCTGGAAAGCCCAAGTCTTTCCATCCCAGAACTGCAGTCATGGGGAGCCATCCTACCATGTCTTTGTGACTCAGTAATGTTGTAGCCCTGCAGGCATGCGCATGTCTAACTCCTCTTGTTCACTCCCCATACAACTAAGTGAGGCCCCAAAGAAGCCAGCTTGTGGCTGGAGTGGCTGGCATTTCTTTATGTTGCTCTCCAGGTGCTCTCCTGCTGACATGCAACCATCTCCTGGCATCAGCATCAAACTGGTGGGAGTGGGATGGATTCATGTTCCCCTCCTCTGTGAACTTTCTCATACAAAACCCCTTAACTGCATTCAGTGGTGTGCAGCTCCATGTTCAACCCTGGCATTACTTCTGTCTGTTAAGGGGAAAAGTATCTCCGCTATAAATTCTTCCTCATCATTATTAACAGTGTGAATGAGTTTCCCCAACCTGTAGACATAGAATTTGTATTTTAAATGTTGAACAGTTCAGCCAGAAGGTGGGTTAAAAAAAGACTGAAAGTAGCCAAGTTTAAGTCTTATCTATAATTTTTTTATCATCCATGAAACACAAAGAACAATTTCATGTAGTTCAAAAACATACTGGGAAAACATTATCACATGCTTAATCGAGAAAACATGTAAAGCCCAGGAATAAACCATCACCCAGACATCACCTCTAAAGCCTATTTACGCATACAGCAGTTTAAAAAATGTGATAAAATAGAAGGTGCCAGCCCTACAATACTGAAACTGCTAAAGCTAGTAATTTCAAACAGAACAGCTGAGGATTAGCTCTGCATTACAACCAGCCAGTCTGTCCTTGGTTAACAAAGAAAGCACAAGCTTCTGTAACACAATCCACCTTGTGAGACTTCAGCTTTTACATCACATGGTTCATCCTCGAGGTAGGTGCCATCCAGAACTGAAGACGTACTGTCTGTATTACATTCAGCAGCTAATACAGCATCCATCAGTCAACAAAACCAATTGAAAGCTGTCTGCTTATGCAACTGAAACAAAGGCACTTTGCAATACAGGGTTAAGTTGCCTACTGGAAAGATCAACACAGGTTAAGAAAGGAGAAACACTGATAGGAATTAATCTCATCAAACCCTGTTTAACAGACACTTTCCCCACTATCTGCAGGGAACGGATTCCCATGGAAGTCTCCAGTCAGACAGAAGTACAGTCTGTTGCACAGAATAAATTCCAGACAAAACATACAGCCTCCAACAGGCAGGACTCCCTGCAGTGACAGAACCCAACAGCCCATAGGCAAACTGTGAGTGACAGCAAAGGATCATGAAGGGAGGGAAAAACACACAACAGAAAAACCCAGACTGCATTAAGACATTGCACTTCATCTGCTCTGCCCACCATCGCTACCACTCATGTTCCAACTGAACTAGTGCTGCAACTGAAGCTGACATATTCTGCCTATCCCCCTCCTGCAGTCATTCCAGTTTTCTTTGCTTACTGAGAAGAAAACTGCATGGAAAAGCACAATGGAGGGGACAGCAAAGTGCACCATCATTACACCATAAACTCTGTAACACAGAGGATGTTTAGGATTAATGCACACTGGTCTGAACAAGCATTACAAATACTCTGTTTAAGAAAAAAAATGTTTTTATCTGCACATACAACTTAACTGAGAAGGCACATAGCCACACTGAGGCATCCTCTTCCTCTAGGAATGCTGAGCTGATTCCTACCTGAGGATCTCACACCATAAAACACATCTGAGCAGCACAAAGGCAGCGGCTGCTGCAGGATGCCCACCTCAAGCCAAAGGAATGTGCAGCCTGGCTGCAGAGGAACAGCTACATGGATGGGTGTTCCTCTCACCAGGACTCCACTTGCCCACAAATAACACACTGATTTCATTTTCTTATCAGAAAATACACCGACAAATTAATTCTGCTGTAGCATAAATTTCTGTGTGTCAGTATAAATGCAGTGGGTGTTAAATCATCCTGCCTGTCTCCAGCATAAAGACTAATTTCCATTTTTGGCTTCTTAGACTCTGTGATCAGAAAGGGTCATTTTCCAGGCAAATTGCAAGTGTCAAAAATAAGAAGTGCTGCATAATTTGCTCAAGAATGTACAGAAAACACATTTTAATCCACATCTAGTCCATGGATAGCGATGTTTCCTCAGTGCTGAGTCCATTTAATACTTTTGAGGTCAATTCCATCCTGCACCATTTCCCAGAGAGGGCTGTAAAGAAAGGAGAAAAATGTGGGTTAAAACACACCGGACAACATCAACAACAAGAATCAACCAGACAATTTTCTCAGCTACACAAGAAGCCAGGAGGTACCCATCTACCTGCCTTCCCCTTCTGGAGCTCACTGAGCTTCAGGAGATCAGTCCTCAACTGTGACCTCAGCCCAAAATACAAAAGGCGAGAGAGCAGGTTCTCCACCTCATGCCCTGCTCCTTCTTTAGGCATTAAGTACTGGTGTCTCAGAGACTGAGCCCTCGCATTTGACACCGTCCAGATGAGTCAGAAGTCTTCCACTTTCACCAAAAAAACCCAACTTATGGATACATTAACTCAGTAGTACCATCTGGGGCTTAGAGAATTCCAGGTACTGTACTTCCAAGTGCCTGCCCTACACGCATTCCTTCCCTGACAAAGGTGGGATCTGGGAGAAGGTTTGTTTCTTTATTTGTCACTACTGTTAATATCAGTCCTCTTCCTACTCTGCTTGCTTATACAGAGACACCACCATATTTTTGAGGTAAACAAGTAGTTTCAACTAAATCCAACTTTTAAATGACTACCACACCGAAAAAGTCTTCACATTCAGTAAGATGGCAGCTCACCTCATTTCCCTCAGCCTCTTAACATGCTGTATGCACTTCTGCACTGTGTAATCCACCTCCTCCTCTGTGGTGAAACGACCAATACCAAATCTAAACCAAAAGAAAACCATCAAAGACTAGAACTGTGCGCATAAGGAGGGGTGGAACAAATCCACCACCTACTTTTAGGCAGAAAAGAAAAACATTTGGAAGCATTAGGAAAGACCACTCCACACACCTTATAGATGAGTGAGCCAAGTCCTCATCTGCTCCGATTGCCCGCAAAACATAGGAAGGCTCCAGAGAAGCTGATGTACAAGCACTGG